GAGTAGGCCTAAATAAAAATGGATTAAAAATCATGTCTTTACTCCGAGTTGTCATTGTTTGTATATTTTAAAAATGTGAACATATGTAAATGTTATAGTTGTAAAGGACGACAGTTCAGATAATAAGGGTGAGAATGCAAGACTAGCAAGAAAGTATATTGTATATCTATTTACCATACGAAACTGTATATAAATTAGCAAGTGAATTTATGTGGAGATCTACCATATCAAAATACTTGCAGAGCCAGCTTTGTATAAATGCATATCTATAAAATATAATTATTAGCCTAGTTAAAACGACTGAAGTACTATTAATAAATTTTCTTACTTTTAATTGATGTGCTACTGGTTCTAGAAACGAATAATCATTTCGACAATATTTTGTTTTTGTAGGTGAGGTGTATGTGACCCTTGCACTGTTATAGACCACCACCGCAATCCTTCGTGTACGATCCAACATAATCTTGAGTGTTTCTTGTAAGTATGTATATCCGGAGGGAGGTTACGACATGGAGGTTACTCGGAAGATCGATTGGTAATGTGATTATTATATAGGCGGGCGTAGCGGTTTTATGAATTCCCATGCTGCGGGAATTGCTATAAACATAAACTATAAACATAAAGCAAAGGAAAACAATATGCTATGAACATATTCTTTATAATTTAAAACAGAAAACTGCATTTATGAGACAATTTCCCCATTCTTTTATGTTGTTGTAATATTCCTTTAAATCATGATACCGGATTACCGCGTTTACCCTATATACTGTACATGTCTAGAAGAAAAACTCACAGTAAATTAGTATGGATGTTCCACGAGGAAAACAATGTTTTCATACATCTTGCTGCGACCCCCCATCCCAGTATACTTATCATACCTATTTTCTTTTAGGGGTCATCCATAAATGACGTCAGGCTTTTTTGGACTATTTTTACCTCCCCCCTCCCCTCCGTCACACATCGTCACAAAAAGCCAGACCCCCCTAAAATGACGTCATACCTCAGCCTACAGCCCCCCTCAAAATTGCAGTTGAATTTTTTTTTAAAACATCGATATTTTTCCAAAATCTTGTCTGAACTCTGTCAAAATAGAGTTCTTTAATTAATTCCTATTACAATTTATTAAAACAGTTTTCTAAAACGTGAAATAACGTCTAAAATTAGTTTTCTAACATTGCTTTTTTATAATGCAAAAGTGTGACGTCGCACCATCTGAACCCCCCCCCCCATCACACACCGTCACAAAATTACGGACCCCCCTCCCCCCTACGAGTGTGACGTCATTTATGGATGACCCCTTAACACAAAATTAAAACGTCGTCTTAGCTTACCCATCCGTATACAACCGCCCCTCCCCCCCCCCCCCCCCCCAAAAAAAAAAAACAACATAGCCACGCCTACTCTGGTTCTAATTTGTGGAACAATCTTATCAATAAAATAAAACTATCTATATCTGAAAATATATTTAAATCTAAACTAAAATAACAATTACTTAATGACATCCTTAACTGACTCATTGCAACATTTCTCATTCATCTATTATATTCTCATTCTATCTCATTTTGTATTATAACTATGTAATATTATTTCTTTATTCCAAATCTTTGAATGCTATGTGTTTACTACTCCATTGCTTTTTATTACAATGCTGCTGTTATTATTATCATTATTATTAAAACGGCCAAGGTGAAAAAAAAGGCCTCGGGTTCGTGCCTACTGTTTATACCGTTATTGAATAAAATGAATACATTGAATAAAGGCGGTGTAATGTAGGTTAATTTAGTTTTCGGGATTCAATATACTCGAACACTTGTTATTGTGACGTTCTTCGCAAGCAGTGAAACCAAATACAAAACATGGCTTTCGCATTACGAAAAGCTACAAGTTATTTAATTAAAAGATTACATTTGCGTCCTGTTAAGAAAATTAAATTTACTTTTGATCCATATATGAATAATGTAAAATCTATCAGGTTTGTATGCATATTTTTTTACCACCTAGACTCTAGGCCTAGCCTAGATCTACTAAAAAAATCATAATAAAATGGTTTGTAAAATGAGTTGCCGAGGTCACGTATTGTCACGTAATTAATAATTACTAGGCCTAATTATTACTATATTATTAGGGATTTAGGTAAAAAAACACTAATCATCATATAAAAATAAAAATTACATATTCTTGTAGAGCTCAACTATATGAAAACAAAACAAAAAAGAGTTTCTGTCTAGCTCAAATAGTTTTTTTTTGGCGAATTTTTTTGTGAGGGGTGGAATCCCCTTGCTTTTGCATTGGCCAATTGTGACAAGTCATGGTATACCTGAATAAATTGAGCATAGTTATTTTACTTGTAGTTGTATTATGTTCATATTTGCAGAGTTTAACTAGAATGATATATAGAACTTGTAAATGCTGTTGAAATTAATAAAAATAATACAGAACTTATATTTTTGTGTTGGCTTCCTCCCATAACCCCAAAAAACTGTGTGCTGCGCAAATATGAAAATGTTTCTAAAGCCATATTTTATATAAATACAGCAAATGAAAGAACTACAAAGTTAGAAATCTAAAGTAAATGACTTGAACACTGTTATGTGCATATAATTGCCTCATTATTTTGGGCAGGTGAAGTAGAGTCCATCTTTAAGCCATTTTGTTATAAAACTGCTGCGCAAATATGAAAATGTTTCTAAAGCAATATTTTATATAAATACAGTGAATGAAAGAACTCCATAGTCAGAAATCTAAAGTAAATGACTTGAACACTGTAATGTGTCTATAACTGCCTTGTTATTTTGGGCAGGTGAAGTAGAGTCCATATAAAAGTCATTTTGTAATAAGTGAAATGAAGTTATCAGATCAATGTTTTTATGTGTGAATTGTGTATGGATTCTGATTTTCAGCATATAACTATATCTAAGGGTAAGTAGAACTTGAATACTTAAAATTACAGTTAGCACAATGTTAGTGTATAGCAACAGACAGGTAACCTAGATCTAGGTCTGACTCTTGTCAGTCTAGAGTCTAGTCTGACAAAATTGGATTTTTAGGAAAAACATATTCTGCAAAACTAGAACTAGAGCTGAAAAAATTAAAGATGGGTATGTAAATATATTTTGAAATAAAAAATTAGATTTGTTTGCATATGCCATAAGAATGCTGTTATTAGTTGATCAAACTTAAAGGCAGGAAGATCGGGATGAAAAAATATAACAATGGTGGCAGCGTGACCTACATACAGTGACTACGTTCGGAGGGGTATAACTAATGTCGGAGTCAAAATATCCAAAAACAAATTTCATTTCCAATTACTTAAGATATGTCTGATCAGTAATCTACTCTCATCTAGAGGAATCTTTTAAAAAATCGAGATTCCAACGTATTTGAAACTAACCTTGATACAGAGGGAAGACCAAAGCAGAGACAGCATGCAATCAGGTCGCAAAGCCATTAAAACTAAGGGACAACCACTCTACTTTTTAATTAACCTTAGGAAATGACCTTTTAAACTTAATTAATTACCATAAATTAAAAACTTATTAGTATGCAAAACCAAATCTCGTGGGTCCGGTATCAGAAAGTAATGGGCGATTTCGGGTCATGTTTTTACCGCGAACTCGGCGGATGCCGACAACCCTAATATTATTAGGCCTAAATTTTAAATTTAAATTTAATAAATTTGATTAAATCAAGTCTATGGGCAATACAATTGAGTGAACGTAGCAAATTTTGGCACATAATTTATAGAATATAGATTAGATGTAGCTATAGGCTATAGGCCTATTGATATACTAGATATATATTATATAGGCCATTATAGGCCCCTACATATACTATAAAGTATAAAGTATACTGACTGACCGTTAATGGTTTGGTTACCTTATTAAATTAATAAATATTAAAACTTCCAAATAACAGCGCTGCGGCTTTTAAATTTAGCCTTCATTCTCCAAAGCAAATTTGAAGTGCTTTCTGACATTTATAACCCTGCCACATATAGCTTGTTTTACAACATGAAAAACCCACCATTTTGCTCGTGGTAAACATTTTTCAAAGTAATTCATAGAAGGTCATTGGAACTAAGACAAAATCATTGGAAGTCATGCATCCAGTGTGGACACCATATTGTTGTTAGCAACCAGCCCTGCCTCCAGGCCAGCGAGCAACACTTACTAAGTGTAAGGTTTTAGATCAAGGATCTATAATCTACCACTTACACTACTAGTCGAGTACTTAGTTATAGTAATAACTTCATAGCATTCGTCCATCCAATGGCATCTAAATGTGCTACCATAGCATTAGTCCATCCAATGACATCTGGATGTGTTACCAAAGCATTAGCCCATCCAATGACATCTGGATGTGTTACCAAAGCATTAGTCCATCTAATGACATCTAAATGTGTTACCAAAGCATTAGTCCATCCAATGACATCTGGATGTGTTACCAAAGCATTAGTCCATCTAATGACATCTAAATGTGTTACCAAAGCATTAGTCCATCCAATGACATCTGGATGTGTTACCAAAGCATTAGTCCATCCAATGACATCTGGATGTGTTACCAAAGCATTAGTCCATCCAATGACATCTAAATGTGCTACCAAAGCATTAGCCCATCCAATGACATCTGGATGTGTTACCAAAGCATTAGTCCATCCAATGACATCTAAATGTGCTACCATAGCATTAGTCCATCCAATGACATCTGGATGTGTTACCAAAGCATTAGTCCATCCAATGACATCTGGATGTGTTACCAAAGCATTAGTCCATCCAATGACATCTAAATGTGCTACCATAGCATTAGTCCATCCAAAAACAATGTGTTATTGGAAATTTTTCTCTCCTAGTAGTCCTAGATGGGTTGCTGTCCTCCGCTATATTGTGGCTCAAACTCTGGAGTTTAGCAATAGATTGCTCACCCCATCACCCCATGCTTCTTCATTTAACCAAAGCATAGTTGTTAGACAATGCTAAATGATTTTTTTATTTCCCTTTCAGGGATGTGGCATCAACCCTTCACTTGCCTGACGTATTAGAAACCAATGTCGGAACCGCCGTCAAGTTTGATATCAGATCAGACAGGATAGAACCTCAGATTGATGTAGAATTCAGTATGTAACATTAACAACTTTCTTACCTTATGAGCACCTCAGATTGATGTAGAATTCAGTATGTAACATTGACAACTTTCTTACCTTATGAGCAGCTTAGTGTTATGTGAGAAATATAATTTAAGGTGGCAGAAATGTTGACTTAGTCATCATCTAAAGAGGTAAACATGTTCTAATTTTTTTATGTACTTTTAAACAAACTATTTCCTGTTGCAGATGATGGCGAAAAACTGATATTCAAGACAGGCAACCTCTCCCATTTAGAAATATTAGACTATCTTTATGAGTATGTGGATGAAAAAGATCCCAAAAAGCATGAAGGACCCGAATTGGTTACAAAAAGTTCAAAGGTTGCAAGCAAAATGAAAGGAAAGAGAAAATGAAAATATTATATTTTTGTTGTGTACAATAGACTTTCAGTTTTTTTTTTTTGTGTATATATAGTGTAGAGAAAAAATGCATGCTCAGATGTGTATTGAATCAGGAAAAGGGTGAAGTTGATGAATTAGTGTGTTCAAATGGATGTGTGGTAAAAAAGATTTTATAATACATAGTTGTGATACATAGCACATGTCAGAATAAATTTGGAACAACTAACTTTGTCTCTGTATTTGTCAGTGTACTGTAAAAAGCTGGCATTAGGCGTTAAGTTTTTCAGTGTGTTTGTCAGTGTGCTGTAGTTGCCATAAGGCAGTAAGTTTTCTGTCCTGATCTGTAGCCAACTCCACTTGCGCTCTCCTTGTGGTGCGGTGATGGTGACACAGTCAACTCTACTTCATTCATCACTCCCTCCCTCATGTGTCTAGCAATGCTTGCTCTAATCAGGTGGTACCTTATGTCAAATTTGCTTGCACCACAATCTAGGTGTTTCAGACAGCTCTGATCAAGGTGTTTCAGACAGTTCTAATCAGGTGTTTGAGACAGCTCTAATCCTGTTTGAGACAGCTCTAATCAAGGTGTTTGAGACAGCTCTAATCAAGGTGTTTGAGACAGCTCTAATCAAGATGTTTGAGAAAGCTGCTCTAATCAGGGTGTTTAAGATGTGATTCAGACCATGAATCTGTAAATGATCTCCTGCACAATCCATAGTGTTGGATTATTAAACTTGAAATTGAAACTTCACGTAATGCACACACTTTGAAGAAAAAAGTCAACAATGCTTTTGTTTGACATTTTATTTGTCATCAGAAAATAAGTTAAAACAAATTAACATGAAAACACTTGCTATTTACATATGAAACAAACTATTAGTTTTTAATCTAAAATTGTCTGGTTTTGTTATTTAACAATTAGAGTTATTTTGATGCTTTGAATTCACATGAATACCCATTCTAAAGAAATGTGTAAAAATACAGGTTTCCTTTCTTTTATATAAAGTAAATATGATTTTATACATTGGAATATATATTAAAAACAGATTCTGTTTGATAAACTTAATAGATACACATTCAGTGGCATTGGTTTTATTTATTGAAAAAATAGCTTATACATTTATAAAAAAAAATTCTTCCTTATTTATTGAAGTAAGTAAACAAAAAGTGAACACATTTTATTGGTTACCTGTATTTGTTATCATTAAATTCTTTTTACACCTGTGCGTAAAATAGCAGCTTAAGGGAGGCAACTTTTGTCACACAAGATGGTCATGATAAATTTTATTGGGTTTATTCATTGTTAAATTTGTTCACTTATGTCGTGCTACTATTTATAACAAGAAACATCATAAATTGTATGCTGTAGAACAACAATATGAACTTGACAATCAACATAAATATTATGTACAAATATAATGCTTTATGGGTGAATTGTTTCCTACTAAACCATGACAGTATGTTGTGGCTTTTTTTTGGTCAGAAATTGAAATAATGGAAGTCAAACAAACTAGTATGAACACCATACTTTAAAGTCACGATATTTGATTTTTATACTGGAAAACAAAACAAAATTTCAAAAGTTCCTTAATGGCGTCTAAAGCTAAATACTGTCTGCATACTTGCAGTTTGATAGGAATCAATTGACAAAAACTAACGGCATACTTGCAGTTTGATAGGAATCAATTGACAAGTTCTCAATTCATAATATTATCGTATGGCCTCAGGTTATGTACAAATATACATGTCTGTTATTTACATATATGTGAACCGTTTCTAAACATACAAAACACAATCAAACCCACAGGGGAGATGAATTAGAGAGCACCCAAGGCAGATCAGTATACAGTCTTCTCAAAGAATTATAGACAGCAGGGATGTTTTTAGGAAAGTGAAAAATTGACCGCCATGGACTAAGGGGTGTGTTGGTAGGGTAACCATTGTGGGGATGAGGTGGATGGTATTCTTCTAGAATGGCCTCAGCAATTTGGCTACTTAATCTCTTTCTCACAACAGAAACACAATGATCAAATTGTTTAACTGTTGGCTTTTTTAGTGTTCATGGCAAGGACTATAGCAGCTAAACTTCACATGGGACTATAGCAGCTACTTGACATGGGACTATAGCAGCAAAACTTGACATGGGACTATGGCACTAGCAGCTAAAGACATGGGACTAAAACTGCAAAACTTGACAAGGGACTTTGCAGCAAAACTTGACATGGGACAATAGCAGCAAAACTTGACATGGGACTATAGCAGCAAAACTTGACAAGGGACTATAGCAGCAAAACTTGACAAGGGACTATAGCAGCAAAACTTGACATGGGACTATAGCAGCAAAACTTGACAAGGGACTATAGCAGCAAAACTTGACATGGGACTATCGCAGCAAAACTTGGCTCTAAATTTAAAATTGACCATTATTAATGCTATAGGGGATATAATTTAAAAATAACAAGGTTTATAATCCGCATATGACTAGGGACAATCTACATAAAAAGGCATAATCCACATATTACAAGGGACACAAATGTACAAAATCAGCACATCACATGGGTCATTATCCATACATTACAAGGGACATAATCTACAAGTTACAAGGGACACAATCTACAAGGGACCATAATCTATAAGTTACAATGGACACAACTTACAAGGGACATAATCTACAAGATACAAGGGACATAGTCTACAAGTTACAGGGCACTATCTCGGCGTAGTTGCAGATCTTGAGTTGGGGGTCGAACCTAGTTCCAGACGGGCAGGACATGATGTGTGGGGGGAAGTTCATCCACCCACCACCCAGGCAGATGATGAAGTGCTCACACGAACTCGGGTCTGCAAACGTGCCGACACCCAGCAGACGACAGTCGATCTCGATCTCCTCGTACTCGTAGTCTTCTGCTGGGAGAAAATACAAGGTCACATTGTTGGTTAAGTAATGCGTGAAACGTGGGTTTCAGTGGCGTAGCCAGGATCGTTTCATAAGGGGGGGGGGGGTTCAATTTTTTTCAAGCATTATATATATATATATATTATATATATATATATATATATATATATATATACAGAGGGGTCTATGGGGGGGGGGTTGTGACCCCCCTGCCTACGCCACTGGTGGGTTTATATAAAAAGTTATCTGGCATTAAAGAGGGGGAGGGGGGGGGGGGGTTGGAGTGGGGCTTCCATCAAAAGATACAAGCATTTTATTAAACGGGGAGGGGGGTGACGGTCTACGGGACAAGCGAAGTAGAGTACACTTGTTTCTGTGAAGGGATAGTGTGGTCAGCACTATACCCAGCCGCCTTTACTTATCCTAACGAGAGTTAGGTACCCGTCAGAGCTGGGTGGACTCAGGGACCTTCTACTCGAGACTAGCGGGTTAGCAGCCCAGCTCTCTACCGCTAGGCCACTCCGTCCCATGGAGGGTGAAAGGGTCTACCATAAAAATGTATCAAGAGCTGCATAAACCAGGATACAAAAGTTATCCAGCGCTAGAAAGGGAAGGTCCTGTCCATGGTGTTACGTCACATTCATGTTTGACTAGTTTAACCCCCACCGCCATAAAGTTACACATTATCACGAAACCTCAGGACCAATCGCTGTAATTTAACCTTACGTGCCGTTAGACTTCGGGGCACTGCCCCCTATCCCGGGGTACTGCCCCCTCCACAGGAACACGCCTAACGCCCAACCCAAAGGGAAAAGAAACACTATATAAATTTTATAGCAAATTATATACTTCAACCAGTGTCGTCGTCCTCCCCCCGCCCCTTGGAAATTTCAAGTGAACCCCCCCCTCCCCTTCCCCCGGAGTAAAATACCTGAATGAAACCTTAACTCTATCCCCGCCGTCTACGCCAAACACTAAAAACATAATTAGACTAATTAAGTCAAACTACCTTCAGCATTTTCAGCGTCCTCTGCTGCTGGTGAGGGTGTGGTTGCTGGGGTCGGGGATGGCGTCGGTTCTTTTTGTAGACCAAAGCCCGGTCTGCCGGTCGGCATGGCGTTCAAGTAGAACTGCCCGTCCCCGGGCCTGAGCTTGGGGGCGCCACCTGACCACCAGGGTGTCGTCTGCCAGGACTTGACCTCGTGAACTTCGCTGGACACGAACTCGTGGGCCACTTTGTCTGCAATGGGTGGAAAAATCTGGCTCAGTTTCCTGTGTGAATCATCATCGTCTTTTCCCTTTAGTGCCCAAGACACAAGGGATAGATGAAGTAGAGTTCAGCTGTTTCAGAGACCGCGGAATATGAAGGTATAGTGTGGTCAGCACCATGCCCAGACGCCTTTACTTTTCTCTTTAGGTAGGTACCCATAAGAGCTGGGTGGACTCATTGACGTTCTACTGACTAGAACCCGGATTCGAACTCGAGACTTTCAGGATAGCATTCTAGCGCTCTACCGCTAGGCCACGCCGTTCCATTTGTTCAGTGAATTTCCTAAGTTTATTTTTTGAGTAAAGTTTCTTAAGTGAAGTTTCTGTGTGCATAGGTATTGAAGTTTCTAGATCAAGTAAAGTTTCGAAGAGAATTTTATTGTTTACTTTCTGATTGAAAGCCTCTTAGCAAGCAACACCAATTGGTAAAATTGGCAAACAAAGCGCCACGTTATTTACAGACCATCCCTTAATACCAACTCGAAACTTATGGTTGGACCATAAGAATGTTTAGATGTCACTATACCCGCATCTATATTTGTATTCTTACCTTTTGGCTGGTCCAAAGACGCCGGTCTATTTTTAGCTCCACTTTTTCTGACCCCATTTTTCGGCGCAGGCGGAAGTTGAGTGGCCGCGGGGGCGGGGCTGGCGGTCACGGTCGTGGTCTGAGTCGTGGTCGTCTTGGGGTGGTGCTGCCTGGCCTTCTTCCACAGCTTCTGGCTCCACCAGCCCGGGGGTTTGGTGGCAGGGTCGCTGTCCGGGGTCGTGGTGTCGGACACCTTGGGTGTCGTGGTGTCGGGTTCTGGGACGGGCGTCCTAGAAGTCGTGGCCCAGCCAAGTTTGCGTTTCAGTTTCTTCAGCTGCGGGTTGGCGCCAGCTTTCTCGGCAGCCGAGAGGTGGGGTGGGGGTTTCTGTGGGGTCACGACCTCGGCGAGCCCGTGCCGGGGTCGGTGCTGATTGGCTGCTTGTCTTGCTGCTGGTTGGCTCTAGAATAAGAGAAAATTAAATAATTTTATTTCTTTTGAAACATCAACTTATGAAGGGGAAAAGATCTTAAGTCTGAAGAAGAAACCCAATTGAAGAGAATATTTAAGAAAAGCGACGTCAAAATGGATACAAATTTCATTGTGGACTCTCCGCATATACAAGCGAAACATACACCACTTTACACATACACCATCTTATATAGACCTACACCAACTTACACATACACCATCTTACATAGACCTACACCAACTTACACATACACCATCTTACACAAACATACACAATCTTTTACAAACATACATTATCTTACATACACATACACTATCTTATATAGACATACGCCATCTTACATAGATAAATACCATCTTACACATACACCATCTTACATAGACATACATCATCTTACATAGACATACACTATCTTACATAGACATACACTATCTTACATAGACATACACTATCTTACATAGACATACACCATCTTACATAGACATACACTATCTTACATAGACATACACTATCTTACATAGACATACATCATCTTACATAGACATACACCATCTTACATAGACATACATCATCTTACATAGACATACACTATCTTACATAGACATACACCATCTTACATAGACATACACCATCTTACAACGACATACACCAGGTTACACAAACATACAACATCTTTCACAAACATACATTATCTTACACATAAATAGATCAGCTTACACAGACGTAAACCAGCATACACAACATACACCAGCATACACCATCCCACACCAACACACACCAGCTACACAGAAATAAAGCCACAAAAGGCCGTGACATACCGGTGAGCCGCCACCAATGATCTCAACAATCGTGGACAGGAGGGGGTACTGACCCTCCCCACACACGCCGCCAAAGTCATCCATCTCGACTGACCAGACGAACGCTCCGGCCAGGTCACGGGTCATGATGTTGTTGGACTGGAATACAAGGTCACGTGGTCAAAGGTCATGACAGCAAAGGTCACGATATCAAAGGTCATGTCACCATGGGTCACGTGGTCAAAAGTCATGACAGCAAAGGTCACGATGTGAAGGTCTATTACCATGGGTCTAGTGGGCAAAGCTCATGTCAACATAGGTCACGTGGTCAAACTTCATGTCACCATAGTTCACAATATCAAAGGTCATATATGGGTCACGTGGTCAAAGCTCATGTCATCAATATTACATACATCAAAGCGAAAATAAAAACGTTAAAGCACTTATCAATAAAAAAAAATCGAAACTATTTAATTTAAGCGCTATGATAACAGCGTGAAACGTCAGCGACTTATTACATTTGTAGTGGATATAAGTCAATATAGGATAAACAACTAAAGTTCCAATTACTTTAAACTTACACACCCCCAAAATATTTAATCACATTGTTGGTATAAAAAAATATCACTTGTATTATAGAAATAGAATGTGATTGAAGGTGCCCCAGTCTACCTTGATGGCGATACTCTTCTTGTTCTCATAGCCTGCCCATTGGTCACCTCCATAGGCGTAGGGGACGGCCTGGTCATCGATCCATTCAGACTGCCAGCCTTTGTCTTTTAGATTCAGGCAGATCTGGTGGGGTATAGGGGAGATAATAGGTTTAAGTGGCTATAGGGGAGAGAATAGATTTTAATGGCAGTAATGAACAGGTTTTTAGTGGCTATAGAGAAGAAAACAGGTTGGTTTAGAATAGATTTTAGTGGTCAAAAGAAAAGAATTGGTTAGTTTCCATAGGGGAGAGAATAGATTTTAGGTGGCCATAAGGAACAGGGTTTAGAGGCTATATTAGAGATAATGTATTATACGTATTTATCAATGATTAAAACAAGGCAAGTTTTTCTATAAATAACCCTGAAGCCCGCATCACGTGACTCACCTCGTAGTATCCCAGGATGCCAGTCTCGCGAGTGTAGTCGCCCATCTTACCCCCGCCCGCCGCTGGGGCGTGCAGTCCGTGGTCCGAGGGGTCAGCCAGGGTGAAGGACATCCCGTAGGTGGGGAGGCCGACGATCAACTTGTCTTTAGAGATGCCCACATTCAGCCAGTAGTCGATCGACCATTCCTGGAATAGATACGTTAGACCGTTCAATCGACCGTTCCTACAAGATATTCGATAGACAATTTCTACAAGATATTCGATCGACGATTCCTAGAATAGAGACGTTAGACCGTTTAATGGACCGTTCCTACAAGATATTCGATAGACCATTCCTACAGGATATTAGATAGATCTTTCAATGGACCATTCCTACAAGATATTTGAAACAACATTCCTACAAGATATTCGATAGACTTCAAAAAACTATTCCAAATTTGCAAGATATTCAAAAGATCATTCCTACAAAAAAATCAAACAACTGTTAACTAAACAGTTAATAGACTGATCCAAGGAGCAAGTCTATAGACAATTAAATGGCACAATCCTACAAAATATTGAATTTGATAGGCCATCAATGGACCGTTCATACAAGACACAAACTAGACGTTCAACGCATGTTTCACGATTTTATACAGCCTGCAAACGGCAGTCAATAAAACCATTCATAATAGATTGTGAAGAGACCATTTAATCGACCATAACGATTGCAATAGACAATATATTCGACCATTAATGAAGATAGGAACCACTGAATCAAGCAGATCAAATATTGTGTGTAGCTGGGAATGCCAACATTCAACTGAACACTTCTACTGTTGTCAAGATCCCTGAACTCACCTGATACAGCTGGGCCTTCTCGCCTGACTTGGGGTCATTCTTGTGGGGGTACAGTCCACTGTGGTGACCTGTGACCTTCTCCCACTGACCGTGGTAGTTGTAGGTCATCAGCAGCATGTAATCGATGTAGCTGTAACATTGTAGAAAGATCCGTGATTAGAATAGTTTATTCAGGCATGTTCAACATCCTACTCTATAAATACGCAATCCAGAAACTATATCACTTTAAGAATTACTATCTCAAAATCTTAATTAACATTTCAACATATGACCTAGATGGTATATCCTAGTTTGTGGATTAACCATGACCTACTTTATGATTTTACTGGGCTCGTAGCTCTGGTCTATGTAGTAAGTACCGGAAGCGGTCGCCATTGTTAGCAGCAGTTTCTCTTTGCCTGATTCTCTGGCCTCTTCTTCAAAAGCTTCGTACAGGCCCTAAGCAAGTGTTATAGATTTAATTAGTTGTAAATACTGCTGTATACGTCCATTTTTATGTGGAGGACGACTGTTAATTAGAAGGCTCACACAAAAGGTTTTGTTATTAATTTTTTTTAAATTTCAATTTGTAACGCCATATTGCGGTTGTGTTTCGTTTAATCAAGTCAGGAGTGGTCAACACAAAAACCAACAGGTTTGGTTTAGAATCAGATCAAGTACATTATGACACTGTTACGTAGCAATACAACATGGTGTCTTTATTGTGTGGTGTAGTGTGTTTAACAAATTGTATGGTGTAGTGTGATCAACATATTGTGTTTAAAATAGTCTTGTTTCTAATTTATCTTCTAGACATGTCACTAATTTTCATTCATTATATCTTTTTTTAACCTTATATTATAATCTCTACTGTATAATTACCTTCATCAAAAGCGTAAATCTATATTTATCATCTGCGGGACTTCCCCTTGTAGCCGGGAATTCCCAATCAACATCGAAGCCATCAAAACCGTGCCTGATGATGACAAACAAGAAATGTGTCAGTGACAGTTGAACAAAATGGTGGTCGTTATTGGACTCGTAAGATCTCCACGGACAAATGGCAAAACTCACCAAAATGACAAAAAAAAAACAAAACAAAAAAACTCACGAAAATGAAAAACCTCACCAAAATAACAAAAATGTCACCAAAATGACAAAACCCCACCAAAATGACAAAAATTCAGCAAAATGACAAAACAACTCGTCAAAATGACAAAAACACCAAAAAATGACAAAAATTCACGAAAACGACTTTAAAAAACTCATCAAAACGACAAAAACTCAAGAAAATGGCAAAAACCCACCAAAATGAAAACCACCAATAAAAACCCACCTTCTGAGATAGCTGATGACGTTGCCTATCCACACACTCCGGGTGTACTCATCTTTGATCATGGGGATGAAAGGTTTGGAGCCGATCTGCCACCCCCCTACAGCCAGTAGGACCTTCAGATCCGGGTTCTTTTCCTTCAGTGCTAGAGTCCTGGCGTACAGACCTGCAAACAGTGCCAGCCGTTTAAAATATTTTCTTACACTAAACATGATGTTATACCAAACATGATTTTCGAATCCGGGTTCAAGTCAGTAGAACGTCCCTGAGTCCACCCAGCTCTTATGGGTACCGAACTCCGTTAGGGAAAACAAAGGCGGCTGGGCGTAGTGCTGACTACACCATCCCTTCATATGCTGTAGTCTCCGAAACATATCAACTCTACTTCATCTGCGCCATGTGTCTTGGGCACGAAAGGGAAAAGATTATATTGAAACATGATGTTACACTAAATGTGATCTTGAGGCCATGGGACTATATCTTCATTCATGTTGAGGGCCATCGGGCCATGGCTACATTGATCTTGAGGCCATGGGACTATGGCTTTATTCATGTTGAGGGCCATCGGGCCATGGCTACATTGATCTTGAGGCCATGGGACTATGGCTTCATTCATGTTGAGGGCCATCGGGCCATGGCTACATTGATCTTGAGGCCATGGGACTATGGCTTCATTCATGTTGAGGGCCATTGGGCCATGGCTACATTGATCTTGAGGCCATGGGACTATGGCTTCATTCATGTTGAGGGCCATCGGGCCATGTCTTTTCGTTGCTCTACTACGGCTGTACTTGAGAAGTTGAGATTTAAATATAATCTTTTCTATAACAACTTTTTTTGTTTGTTTTAGTAACAGGAGAATCTGCAAGTACGATATGGCTGGTACCCCTGAAATTGTATTCACCTACATAGACCGACGGGATGCTGCCAGTTGAAGTCTACACCTATGGCAACACCTACAACGATAAACAGCCCCCCCCCCCCCCCCCCCCAGGGGACTAGGGGACACGGGCACACAGCGTGATGCTATTGACACGAACACACATGGTTGGGCGAAATGTTGTTGACACGAAGGGAGACAAAGCACACAACAGTACGTCATGGGGATTCCCGATGGTGTGAAAATCAGGCACAGATGGTTGAGATAGGCTAGGGTGAATGGCTAACTAGGGGAGCTTGTTTCTTTCTTATACATCTACTCTGGTATTTGAGTTCTACTAAAAACAGCTTGCTGGATCTTCGAGTCAATGAACTTCTAACGATAATCTTATATTTTGATAATCCATTTATACTTCAGGAATGTACTTTGTATAGCCAGGCACGAGTCAGACACTGGCCCCTGCCCACCCCACTCATGGAAAAATTATATGGGGCCCCTGCCAAACTGGAGACCACAGTCCGGTTTGTTCACGAAGTTGGACTTGTTGTCTGAATCCTCCACCATATTCTCAATTAAGAACGAAGAAGAAGAAGATAATCCATTTTGATAATCGAGATATAAGAATCAACCTAATTGCTATACAAGCGTTATAAGTCCGGGACAGGGACGGGGGGGGGGGGGTGGGTTAGGAGGGCGTGGATTGCATCGTGTGACGCCCAACCTAACTGCTATTGACACAACACTTTATTTTAACACGTATTATATTATCTCTCGTCATTATGATGATTCCTGTTGGATATATTTCAAGACTGTGGTACTAAGATCAGCTAGCATTACGTCATCTAAGCTTCTTGCAGGATATTTTTGTGGCACGGTTTTCCCAAATGAAAAAAAACCCAACAAAACCAAAAATGTATAACAAAGCATGTCTACTTTTTGAGGCGATGTCACCCACTGGAGAAAGTACACAGCTTCTCTTGTGGCATAGTGTAGGTCCAGTGAAATAGATTGTCTTTCATGTGTATCATTGGGTCACTACATTATGGATAAGGAAGAAGGGATCACTAGGTCACCACATTAATGAAGAATGGGTCACTGGGTCACCACTAGAGCAGCCACACCACGTGACTGGAATCCCCATCTAAACGTTCTATTTCAAGATTTGGCTACTCACCGTTCTGACCGTGGTCGTTACGGTTGAACGGTCTCAGGTCCCGCCCATCCGTGGAGATGTCGACGAAGGCGTAGATGATGTGGGTGCAGAGGAAAGGGTTGATGTTCTCGGGCAGGAAGTTGCCGACGCTGTGACGTGTCTGGGCGAAGCTGCTGTAGTAGCAGAAGATCTTCTTGGCTGTGGAGGGAGGACAGCTATACATAAAGCTAGAATATATATATATATATATATATATATATATATATATATATATATATATATATATATATATATATATATATATATATATATATATATATATATATATATAAAGTAAGTAAGTTTCCCTTTCAAACCTGACGGTCTATAGGGCAAGTGAAGAAGAGTTCACTTGTTTCTGTGACCTCGGCATATGAAGGGATAGTGTGGTCAGCACTATGCCCAGCCGCCTTTACTCCCCCTAACGTGAGTTAGGTACCCATCAGAGTTGGGTGGACTCAGGAACGGTCTACTGACTTGAACCCGGATTCGAACTCGAGACTAACGGGTTAGTAGTCCAGCTCTCTACCGCTAGACCACTCCGTCCCATATATATATATATATATATATATATATATATATATATATTACCGAGACACAAACTCATATGCTTTTGCCTCTCAGTTAGACTGCTCGGAAAAGATATTCTATGGACGTTTCGTTGGGGGGGGGGGGGGGGTTCCTATAAATCATCCCTGTTTTCTAATCTACTTTCTCTTTGATCTACAAGTGTTGTGGATTAAGAAACGCTTTCTAAACTAGGTTCGCTTCAAATCCGAGGTTGGCATTCAGTTAACGAATGCAGCTGATTTATTTATAAATGTTCGAACTGATAACAAAAAACATGCTTTACAAAACGATTTTATTTGAAAACCAACACATTCGAATGTCCGTACATCAGCCATACAACTCCCCGATCTGTCTTGCAGAAATGGTCTGGAAGCATCATGACCAATAGGTCTTACGTACGTATCTATCTGACCAACACAAGATTTATAAGATAATTTCTGACTTACCGAACACAGTCGACCCATGTTGTAAGATGACCGCCACTAGCGAAATACACAGCCAAATTTCTTTCGGCCACATGACTCTAGATTCAAGCAAATTATTTCGTTCTGGTTGTAAGAAATATATCTCCTGATGCAAAGGCTTCAAATTCTTGAATTCCTGTTGCGTAGGTGATGCGGGGTGCTGTTGTAGTATCCTTATGGAAACTATTCACACTTGTGCTTAGATATGATAACACTGTGTCGCACTGTGGAGTAGTCCAATGTTTTAAACTGCTGTTCCTTTCACCGTCAGCGAGATGTCTTCTTAATGGTTAATCAAAGTCAGATTTTGGCTTTTATACGGCCTGCCCCTCCCATTGAAGCAACGTGGTGTCCAATGCCAAGGTCATGCCTCCCCCACCCCCCTGTTTGTTTGACCAGCGCGTGTTTGTCGGCAGGTCCACGAGCCGATCATCTCGTCTTGCCTCGTCTTGCCTCGTGTTGTCTCGGCCGTCGAGTGACGCTTCCTCTGTCTGCAGCCCCGGTAAACACGCAATGATCGCTGGCTAAACACCCAATAACAGCCACAGGATTACCGCCCCTAAAATTAACGGGAGATTACTCTCCATTTTAATCAGCATCTACAAAATTTTAGAAAAAATTCGAAGTTAATTTCTGGAATTTTGGGGTCAGCTTATCCCATCTCTACAAACAATTCTGAATATGAAATTACAAACAATTACATGTATTTAGGATGCCTGAATATGATGTTACTTATTAAACAAATTAATATGATGGCACTGAACATGTTACAAACTATTAAACATATCATTTTTAAATAAGGTTTTACACATAATGTTCCGTTAGCAAGTGCTTAATTATCATTCTATAAATTATTAAACGAATAATAGACTCATGAATATGGTAGTACTGAATATGATAATACTGAATATGACGGTACTGAATGTGATGGTATTGAATATGATGGTACTGAATATGATGGTACTGAATATGACAGTACTAAATATGATGGTACTGCATATGATAGTACTGAATATGATGGTACTAAATATGATGGTACTGAAAATGAAGGTACTAAATATGATGGTACTGAATATGATGGTACTGAATATGATGGTACTGAATATGACGGTACTGAATATGACAGTACTGAATATGATAGTACTGCATATGATGGTACTGAATATGATGGTACTGAATATGATGGTACTGAATGTGATGGTAGTGAATGTGATTGTACTAAATATGCTGGTATTGAATGTGATCTCTAAGCACCTCCTTGACTATCTATAAATATAATCACAAGAAATTTTTCTTTGAAGTCGGACACCTTCTTCGTTTTTAATTGAAAATATTAAAGGGGATTTCCTCCAACAGAATTAAGTATGACGTGTCAGTATGTCATGTACCATATAGGCCGTTGACTTCTATTCCAGCCTGCTTTACTTTCTAGATTTGCTTCCATTTTGTCCACCCTAGAACAAGCTACAAGGCAGCAGTTGTTTGATTTTGGAGTTATCTCTCCTAGAAGCAGTGGCGTATCGAGGTCGGGTGTCACCCAGTGCGGCACTTAATGGTGTCAACCTTCAGAGGCGTAGCGACCCTTCCCGGCGCCCGGGGACAAACTTTCAATTTTCGATTTGCACCGCCCCCCTCAAACTCTCGATTTGCACCCCTACCCCTCCACCCTTGTCGGGATTTGTCAAATTTGCTCTTAAAAGACTTTTTAACACTCAAATTAATCACTTAATTAAGTGGAATTATCATTTTTCTCTTTATATTTTGCTATTTTTTGCCTTGATGTCACCCCCTAAATGGTGTCACCCGGTGCGGTCTGCACCCTCCCTCGCTACGCCACTGCCTAGAAGGGTTGATGTCCTCTACTATCGAGCCTCATCTACAAGGGACTGAACTCGGGACGTTTGAGGGGAAAGGATCCTAATAATTATTTTAGAGTTATATTGTGTATAATTAAAGATAAAAAAAAAGGTGAAAATATAATTATATGAGTGAAATTGTACACTTTCACATGTATTGTACTCCAGTATTAGTCAATACGCCCGAATCCCTCACCCCTGACCCCTCTCCGGAGAAAATGGAGAAAAAATCAACGTGTCCGTCCCCCGGAAATTTGAAAGTTATCCCCGGAAAAAAAGGCCTGAAAGAAACCCTGGCATCAAGACACATTGGAGTGGTAGACATTTCTTTCAGATGTTTTAAAGACGTCGTTAACCTAGTTCTGTACCGGTACTGTTAATGGCATCACTGGCAGTGGCTGTGTCATCTATTCTGTCAGATCTGTCAGTTGTTATGTCAGTGATTGTGTCAGCTCTGTCAATGTTTCTATCAATTATTCTGTCAGTTCTGTCAGTTATTCTGTCAGTGATGCCCCATAATGCTGTGAACGCTAATAATACCCCTTGGAAAGTGATTTGGACAGCAATAATTTGTTTTAAAAAGTTATAAATGTAACTTACATAGGCCTAAGTTATAAATGTAACTTACGTAGGCCTAAGTTATAAATGTAACTTAAATTGGCCTAAGTTATAAATGTAACTTACATCAACCTAAGTTATAAATGTAACTTACGTAGGCCTAAAATATAAATTAAAACAGAACTTTCACAGACGTGGTTAAAAAAAAAATAGCAAGTATCTTAGTTCTTAGTGAGAGTTTCTTTCATGCATCTCTACTTGAAAAGTAGGAAGGCCCCTCCCCCCACCAACAAAACAAAAAAAATATAGAAAATGTATACTTTAACCACTGTCCACCCCTCACTGAAAGTTTTATGTGCCCCCGCCTCCCCCCCCCCCAGGACAAAAATGTCTGAAAGAAACACTGATCTTAGTCATCTTACTACGCCGTTTGCTCCATTCCTGGTGTATCTCCCACGGCCTTGCCTAAATCTCGCTAACTTAAAATAAACCTTACCCTAACGGATTACCCAGGATAAGACCCCCCCCCCCGGATTCTATTTCTAAAGGTGTGTTTTCTAAGGTTAATGATCCATCCTAACCTTTGGGTATTTAAAATAACCGTTGCCATTATTTCTGTGCTTTTTTAGCCAGGGGGATTTCGATTTTCTTGACTCTCTAAGTCATGTGAAATACGTTCCTGGTTCTCAAGGCTGTTTCACTTGACGGATAAATTGTCTCCCTTCAAAGTCAACAGAATCTCGTGGGTTAATTCCCCTGCACAATCAGCCGCAAGGCCAACGGCGCTTCCGTTTTTCGCAGCGCGTATGTCCTTGGGCGGCGACTTCCGTCGTCCGGTAGGGCGGGCTGTGGTTGTTTTGATGCGGTTGAAAGTAAATCTGGCAAAGGGAGAGGATCGCGCCGTTGTCATGTTAATTATGTCGGTCTTGGCATAGCAAGACTTGGAGTTGTCGCCCAGTGTCGTCCTTTTTTTTTTTTTTTTTTTTTTTTAATTAACGGCCGTAAGGATTGCAGACGTCTGCCGATTGATTAAAGTTTAGTTATTAATTGTGAAAATAGTTTTATTTTTTGTTTGCGGTTTTGTTAGTATTTTTAAATATTTGGTTAGCCGTACCCACTTATTTATATAGCTTGTATCGCCATTAAACATCCTTTTACAACAGTGTTTCTTTCAGGCATTTGTTCATGAAAGGGGAGGGAGGGGAAAAGAGTATTGTGGAATTGTGTCCCCATTGGAGAAAAATGTCTGAAAGAAACACTGTTCTACACCAAACCTAACCATAACTATAACAACACGACTAGTCTTTACTCTAGTTATAAAGGTTAAAGGTAACATGTCAACGTTTGAGATATAGGTGGTCAACATTTGAGGGTAACTGGTCAACATTTGAGGGGTTAGTGGTCAACATTTGAGGGGTTAGTGGTCAACATTTGAGGGTAACTGGTCAACATTTGAGGGGTTAGTGGTCAACATTTGAGGGGTTAGTGGTCAACATTTGAGGGGTTAGTGGTCAACATTTGAGGGGTTAGTGGTCAACATTTGAGGGGTTAGTGGTCAACATTTAAGTATAACTGGTCAACATTTGAGGGGTTAGTGGTCAACATTTGAGGGGTTAGTGGTCAACATTTGAGGGGTTAGTGGTCAACATTTGAGGGGTTAGTGGTCAACATTTGAGGGGTTAGTGGTCAACATTTGAGGGTAACTGGCCAACATTTGCGGGGTTAGTGGTCAACATTTGAGGGTAATTGGTCAACATTTGAGGGTGATTGGTCAACATTTGAGGGTAATTGGTCAACATTTGAGGGTGATTGGTCAACATTTGAGGGTAACTGGTCAACATTTGAGGGTAATTGGTCAACATTTGAGGGTAACTGGTCAACATTTGAGGGGTTAGTGGTCAACATTTGAGGGTAACTGGTCAACATTTGAGGGTAATTGGTTAACATTTGAGGGTAACTGGTCAACATTTGAGGGGTTAGTGGTCAACATTTGAGGGTAATTGGTCAACATTTGAGGGTAACTGGTCAACATTTGAGGGTAATTGGTCAACATTTGAGGGGTTAGTGGTCAACATTTGAGGGTAATTGGTCAACATTTGAGGGTAACTGGTCAACATTTGAGGGTAATTGGTCAACATTTGAGGGTAACTGGTCAACTGGTCAACATTTGAGGGGTTAGTGGTCAACATTTGAGGGTAATTGTGTCCACATTGGATCTCTGCACTATGTAAAATAAAACTACAAATTCTCCCATGACATAGGCTATAATAAAACAGTGAATTCTATGTCACGTGGTGTCTGATCAACCAATCGTGTGACCTTATGAACGATCGTCCGACCAATAGAAAAACACCATCAGGAGACGAGCGCGTCATCTAAAGCCCACACGTTGTGTGTTGGATGCTGACGTGGCGCCCGGGGTCAACACCAGGGGGGGGGGGCGACGACACCTGATGGTCAGCCTCTGTTGAATGAAAATATTGACATCAGTCCACGGATGTTGCCGGCTAGTGGTGTGGGGAGGGGGGTTGATTAGATATTTGATGATCTGAAACTAATTTGTTCTTGTGTTGATTTGTTTCATCTCAGCATCGTTTTGGTGGTGAACCTATTCAGTATTCTCCATGAAACTGATGGTAACATAATCATGTGATGTAGATCTAGGTTCTAATCCTGTAAGGTTATACGGCTGGTAGTTGTTGTTGTTTAGAACAGTCGTGTATCAATCATGTACGGCGATATACAGTACACGTATCGTACGTGTAGTCAGTGTTTCTTCCAGATATTTTTCTCCGGGGGGGGGGGGGCACTTGAAAATTTCGGGGTGGGGGGGGGGGGTGCGGACTAAAAT